AAGTCAAAGAATCTAGCCATGAAATGCCCACGAGTCCTTGTTACCGGACCGTCGAAATCATCAACGAACTGCTTGAACGCTGCGGCATCCATAAGTTTACGCAAACAGCTATACCCGTTTTCACCCCAAGAACCGTAGTAAAAAAAGTCCGGCCCCTCGCGGAGCATTACTGATTTCCCTCTTTATGCTAAGAATTGAGATATATGTAGGTGTATTTTAGATTAGATATGTGTTTTCTTATCAAGACGGACACGTTTCAAACGCCAAAAGCACCGCTCCTGCGTCCGACGACCAAATTTTGTGAGAACTACTTTGCGCGGCGTAGGAACATGGAGCAAACCTTCCTTTTCTCTTGAGGTGAAAACGGGTATAGTCTGAATGATGATAATGCAATTAATTGCAAAGGTGCAAGCGAGCTAGACAAGAATGACGAAAATAATCTCTGGAGAAGGGGAACAAGAGGGACAAAGGGCAAACACAAATCTCCAAACACAGCTAGGTGACTGGCGCGCGACCGAAAAAATCCGCCTGGTCCTGTTATCGAACCAGGTACCTCTCCATTTCCAGTGGAGCGTTCTACCAACTGTGTTTGTGTTTGGAGATTTGTGTTTGTCCTTTGTTCCCTTGTTCCCCTGCTCCAGGGATTATTTTCGTCATCGTTAGTCTGAATACGCAGCTTTATTGAAATGTAATATATATATATATATATATATATATATATATATATATATATATATATATATATATATATATATATATATATATATATATATATATTAAGTTTTATTTCCCATGTAAATTAATTGTACAGTTTAATTATTGAGCTAACCATCTTCAAGCTTAGAATACAGTAAGTATAATGATAAAGGGATGATGGGTGAGAGAGCACAAGATGGACTAGCTACGGAGTAAAGCCACCGACACCATAAAACAATCTGAAAGTTTGCTTCACTCTTCGAGCTGAATATTTATTTATATTTAGGGTATCTTCCAAGCGGCGCTGGCACGTCTTGAACTCTTTAATATTGACACGCGTAATCCCTCAGATGGGGAGACCGTGGTCCAATTACATACACCCGTCGTTTCAAGACGATGTATAACTCGTTAATTGATTTCCTGAAGGCAGTGAGCCTTGCCGATTGACTGTGGCAAGGTTCATTGCATCACAGTGAATTTTACCCCTTCCATCCTACATCTTGCTCTTTCGTTTTATTTATTTTACATTCATGCTATACCTTTCCATCTCCCCGTTACACTAAACTCCCTTTCGGTCGTTTTTTGTGTTTTTTTGTTAAACTCATGAAAAACGGGCGATGTCAATAAAACCACCGCGACAATACAATCGAATTGTAAAGAGAAGTTCGCGCGCAGTACTGATGAACACGAAACAGCCATCATGCAGATTTGAAAAATGCTTTGCCTTCACGTGAAGTCACGCGGAAAACATGGACTGTCTCTGTAGTCACTTCCACCGGAGGAATTTCCACAGCCTGACTCGACGTTGACGTCAGAACGACATTTTTTTTGTGATACTCAGCTAAAGAGAATACAGACGTATAAGTGTTAAGCCTTTCAAGACACTTTTGTTTTTAGAAAGAGCGTTTCCAGAGAAACGGGTTTCTGAACCTGTCGGCAATCAAATAACATGTTCGCAAAAAGAAAAAGAAAAAAAAAACAGTTTTTTTTTTTAGTACAACCGAAGTAAAACAACTAGCTTATACTACCTTGGTCAGAACTAAACTAGAATTCGCTTCTTCCACATGGTCACCGTGGCAGGCATACCTAACTAACACACTGGAATCCGTTCGAAGCAGAGCCCTCCGTTTTATTTATTCCGACTATTTCCTTAATGTGACCATATCAGGATTTCGCCATTCGGTGAACCTTGACACCCTTTCTCACCGGCGCAGGGTGTCTCGCCTTTCTCTTTTTCATCGGATCTTTTGTTACAACAATCATCTCAGACAGAGATTGCTATCGCCTTCTTACCGCATTCTCCCTCGTCTCGACCATTCTTGTAAACTACGTCCGATTTCATCATCCTGTGAGCGCTGCGGTGAACCTTTGACTGTTCTTCATATTTTATTTATTTTTTCCTGGTCTTCGGCAGCAGCACAAATTCTTTTTTCCTGATCTTTTCTAGTATCGCATTCCATTTCACCCTGCCTTGCTACTCGGTGAGCGGCCACTGATCTCATTCAAACGTCTTTTTGATTTCCTTGAATATACCGGATTTTTAAACAAACTATAGAACTATTCTACTCCCCATAGTTTAATTCTACTCACCCTTTTTTATTGACTTACCTTGTTTGGCGCAGTATGGCCATTGATGCTCTTGCGACATTAAATCCGTAAACAACGTCCGATTTCATCGTCAACCGTAACTCACCAAATGTCTACTTTACCATTGGCCATTGACGACTGGAACGTACTGCCTGGCGTAATTGTTTTCATATCTGACACTAAGGAATTTGCTGCAGCCATTACCTTGTTTTTTCAAACCTATAGCTAGATTGCAGCGTATTTATGTTGTTTGTTTTTTGAAGTGTTAATTCTCTTGTATAATGTCCCCTGGGCCTTCAAGGGAAAAAATGATGATGATGATTGCTTTATTAAGAAAAAAACAACATTGCCACCAGTGGATTTAAACACTATCAATAGTAACAATAATCAATCTCGGAGTAAGACGAACGACCACCGAAACCACCCGTCACCGCTGCCTCTAGCTATGAATTCAGAAAACGCAAATGGGGCTCCATGATCATTGCGGTTAGTGCGCGACCCAAATACTTTTTTCTTTCCTTAAAATAGTGCCGATTGCGTGGGTTGTGCAATGGGGTATGCGGGTTGTCTCGTTGAGATGGCGTCATAAGTCAGTGGTGTAAGTAGCGATTTCAGGGTCACTGCGACCGTCACACAGAGGATGTCCGCTTCACGACGAAGCTGCCGCCTCGATTGACAGCTGTATGACGATGAGTAACCTTGCGTTCTCGAGCATTTCAGCCGCACAATGAGCAGTGTTGGTGCGCAGTAGAAGAGCCAGTAAACAGAACAGCCATCGTTCAAAAAAAAAAAAAAAAAGAAAGTAAAAATAATTTTGAAAGGAGCAAGGGTGGGGGACAAAAAGAAAAGTGATTAGGTCAGCTTCTGTGGCGAAGTGTGTGTATTTCGATTTTTACGATCTGCATGTTTGCACAACGTTTCCAGTCAGCGGCCTACGCACTACAGGGCTTCCAGCTTCCTCGTGTCGTCAAAAATCAAACAGCGAGCGGACAAGGAACTTTTTGAAAGATAAATATTCACGCGGTCCCCTTGGTGCGCACAAAATTCCGCCTGTGTAATGATTCCGTAAGCATTTCAGTGTTGCGCTAGGCCCGGCACGGGGGTCAGTTGACGCTCGTGAACGGTTTAGTTTAGTACATTTGAATACTCCGATCGTGGCCCTGGTGTCGCTTTTTAGGTTGGCTGTAAATGTGAAATGGATTGGTACTCATCTGAAGTGTAAACTGAATCGACGATCCAAAGGCCGCGGGTAACCTTGGCATGTGACTGGCTTAAACGCATGAAATGTGAAACTACAGGGGAGTATTTGCGAGAACTACGAGTTCTTTCAGTATCCATGTACGAACTGCTTTTCCTAGTTTCCCAATAGATTTAGGTATCTTACCCCGTATTTTCAGGTTCAAGGCTCGTGCCAAATAAAAGTGCAAGCGATTGGTGTTTTTGAAGTTTGGTTGTACCTGTGCATCAAACCTCAAATGCAATTTCCGGTAAGCGTGTTACTTTAAAAAAAAAGAAAAGAAGTAGCACGCGTTTTTTGATGTGACTGGGCATTTCAACGCTATTTTCATTCCGCTTCAGACGTTCACACTCCATGCAAAACACAATCCTTGCCATTTCATGCACCTCACGCGGTACCAGGATTAAATATTTCGTGACATGTATCAATATAATTTTTTCTGCACTTCAAGAAGTACGACAACAGATAGAAATTAAACGAGGATTAAAAGAGCGGGCTTGAATTAATTCACTTCGTGCCATGCTTGTGCAGAGTGCATCCCTTTTCCCCGAAGTAGGACAAACAAAAATTACGATTCGTCGTTTTGAGTTATTATTGATGTCCTCTTGCGCCTGCTTTCTAACGCAATGAATTTCATTAGAAAGTAGGCAAGGACGACCAAAATCATTGGTACAATCAAAGACCATTGCATTCAGTATTTTTATCATGGATACCCTTGTTTGATGAATAGCGCTGATTAGATAGGAACTTCATTGCCAAGTTTACCTAAGAGGGGACAAAAGCTTGCAAGTAATAAAAGGACACTTGAAATCTATAATACAAAATCTATTTTCTCCAGAATAACGTTTTCGGCCGCGGCGGTTGGAACGACACGAGTGTGACGTGATGATTAGCGAACTACAATTTGTTAATTAACTTTGTAAGTATTCGTCATAGCAGCAACGCTGCAAAGTAATTCATTTGGAGTGTGCAAGTTAAAATAATTTTAAGTAGCAATATAGTTTGAGTTCATATTTATAACTTCGTTTAATTTCGGAGTAACTTGTAACCTGGGGGGCTATGTTGGACAAATGTTTCGTTTCTTCTAAAAAGAAACGGAAGTGACAGAACTGACGATATCGCGTCCGATTGGCTACAGGCTCAAATGACGAAAGAGGGAACTTGCGTCATTTGAGCCTCTAGCCAATCAGACGCGATATCGTCAGTTCCATCACTTCCGTTTCTTTTTAGGAAAAACGAAACATTTGTCGAACATAGCCCCCCTGGTTCACCTACTGTTACCCTTAAACACTTTCAACGTGCCCCCCCCCCCCCCCCCCCCCCCCTTTTTCGCCCAGCGTATACACAAGCTGCTATTCCCTTAGAGCGTTGAATTTGCCTGTCAATGCTGTACAGCGTCAAAAGCAGACCGTTCTCTGTTACTTCACTGCGTGAACTGTTGCAGTCGGGTTTTTTAATCCGCTTTCCCGAATTTTCGCAGCTTGAGGGAGCCTCCGACACGGGCCCTACTGCCCCAGGGTCGCCGCGGAACCCCGGAGGCCTAAAGCAGGAGGCCAGGCCCGCGTCGTGTCGACCATGGCTTCGAGGCACCGATCCCTGCCGCCGTCTCGTCGGGAGAAGAAGCGCGCCGACGGTCTCCCGATTGCCGACACCGATGTGCCAGAGTGGCTGGACGTCATCCAATTCGGCCACGTTGGTCCGATCCGAGACGTGTTCAAGACGATCCCGGAAGACAAGTCGGCGGTGCCTTCGTGTTACGAGTCGGGTGACTCGACCAGCCTGTCGAGCTCGGACAACGCTTCGGAGGGCGGCAAGGACGGTCTCCTGAAGGATCCTGGGCGCTACTCGTTCCGGTCGACGGAGGGCGGCGGCAACGACGAGGGCGTCCGGATCACGCACATGTGCATGGCTCGGCGGGGCTCCGTCAGGTCCACCGGTTTCGAAGCCGGGGAGATCGTGGTCGAAGCCAACGACGACGACCTGCCCGAGATCTTCGTTACCGCCGATTCGAGGCGCTCGCCTGACGGTGAGGTAGGCACTGCATGATACCTGTACGACCACGTGAGACATCGATTCGGTGCCCTCATGTGCGCTTGTGACGAACAAAGCTCACTGCCGAGGTAACTTACATGTTGCGAGGAGTTCAGTGGGGGACTCTTGCGTTCCGCTACATAAACTCCGTTCACTCCTAAGCTGACAGTGCGGTAGAAACTACGCGTTCACCGGACCGAGCAACCGCGTTCCTTTCGTCGCCTGAACCCGCTATCTGCGCGTGGGAATGAGCGAGAGCCTGATCACGTGGCCAAAGGTCGACGTACGTTACTCGTCTAACGAGCTTGTAGATACCATCACACTGTCAAGTTATGGGTGAATGGCGTGACCGCGTTGCGCAGACCCTCGGTTGCCATAGCGACTACTTCGTCGTAATCACTGCTAACGCTGCTCATTTGTGTTCGAGAGTGAACAACTGCTTTGCAAACTCTTACGACAAATGGATGGATGGATGGATACGGCTGAACCCTTTTAATCGGGCGGCCGCTTGCGCCACCTAGCCAAAGCTTCTAAATCCAACAATGAACTAATCTCCGATTAAATTCCCATTTAATGGAGAAGGGCAAACAATCTGATATCGCCGCTAACCATAAGTATTCATCCACCATTTTCTACAACCGAAGGTTACAACTCGTGCGACGGTGATGCCTCTTCGCAAGTCGGTGCGCGCACTTTTCGCCCTACGGTTTGAAAGGGAAAAAAATAAGAAAAACGTTATTCTTCCCTTGACTCCACGATATAGCACACTGGCGCCATCTATTGGGTAGCTCTGGCCAACTTCCCCTCTGCGTATATTTTCGAAATATTTGCGCATTATTCTTTCGCTGCGGGCTCGAACTAATTCAGACAATGTTATAAGCGGCCATTTCTAATTTATAGTGCGTACTTTTATCTCACAAATACTGCAAAACCTTCAAAAAATACACGCAGACCGGAAGTGGGCCAGTGCTACGCTATAGACAGCACTAGTGTAGTCGGTCACACTCAAGTGCAAACCTGTAAGCCAGTCTTTAAGCAACTGTAACGTAGTCTGTTACACTTAAACGGAGATGTCTGAACCGGCCTTTAACCGTGCATACTTTCGCCATCGCTGCGGTAAATGTTGAACCGCGTAGAGCTTAATTTCTCACGATTAATTTCATCCTTACGCCGACTGCACAACATACGATGATCCACATTATTCGGGTGGCTATCCAATCTAATAAATTTCCCCAGATTGCGGAGGCATAGTAACAAATTAGATAGTTCGGGTGTGGGATTCTTATGGGGTGTGTAGTCTGGATAGGCAACCGAAAGAGAAACCAAGTTTGCACAAAATGTGCCAAAGGCCATCGACTTAAAGGACACAAATAAAGTGAATGTTCTGAGCTTGCCCCCTGTTTGTCAGCCTTGTGTTTAATATCTGAAATGCACACTAACTGGCCCAAGTGATATCCACTAGCTAACACGGCATAACGTGGACTGAAAACAGCTGAGCAGTGTTACACGAACAGAGCAGGGAACACACACAAAAAAAAGATGTGTTCTTACACCCCTTGTCACGTAGAATACACCCCAGAACTTCAGTTCATCATTCAGCGCACTGGCGTTGAACCGGCGGCACCAACTTTCACGAGTGGCTTGATAGCCGAGTTGTACAACTTATTAAAAGAGCTAATGTACGTAGGACTGACTGCAGAAAAAGTAGTCGGGGTTTTCTTGGCCCTACTGCAAAACCACAGTGTTTTTTTTTTTGTATTTTTTGATACAAACTTTAGCTGTTCAAAATGTTATATCCCACCGTCATCAAGTCTCTCATAAAAGTTGGGGCTGTCAGTTTGACGTCAGTGCGGTGTACATCGAACTGAAGTTTGGGGGTGTCATATATGTGACAGTAGGTTTAAAGGCCACACCCTTTTTTTAGAGTGAAGGACGTCCCTCAAAAAACACTTGAACCCAACAAATGAAAATGTCTCGCAGATAATCTACACTTGTCCTAAACGCACTTATTGCACAAAAACAAAGGCTAACGATATTATACAAAAGGAAAGTGGAGTCCGACAACTTTTCCTTGTTATCATATAAGCCTTGACCTTGACTTGATCAACAAACTGAGCATGGCATGAGCTCCAAATGAGGTAATGCACCGCTGGCGCAGAACTAATGTCACGCTGTCCACGAGCCAAATGTCCACTCCCTCTAGTTACACAACGATTTCACCCTTTCTCTCTTGCTAGCGCTTTCAATCATACGGCTACGTTCCCCGCCTCGTTCTTTTTCCTTTCCGTCTTGCTCAGAACGACGGCGGGTGCGGCATCGGCAGGGAATCGTTGCGCGCATCGCTGCCCAAGGACCTCCTCAGGGTGCCTCAGAGCCGAAAGGGACGCATGGTTGTGTCCAGTTCCAGAAAGGGGGGTCGCAAGAAAACATTCCAAGTGTCCGAAGTGCGGCGCGCACCGTCGGACTCGGCTGACTCAGGAATCTACACCAGTTTCGGGAAGGACATCCGGAGTTACGGCCTTCCTGAAGAACAGCCCGAGCCGACGAATGCCGAGAGGGAAATGTCCCTCTCGGAGCAAGAAGTGGCGGCGACATCGGATGTCCAGGCTGCAAGCCCGTGAGTGGATTCTTAAGGTCTTATAATCTTCCCAATGAAGTCCGAGACTAAAAGTGCGGACGTTCGTCTTTAGTAACGGGCTCCATTGTGTGGACCTCTCTCTGGCCTACCAATGTGTTCGGTATTCTCTCAATGTACTCGTAACTCTAAGGCCGCGGTCAGACTGATCGTACAAAAAACACGGCTGCAGACGCGATGACATCTTCGGAGACGTCTCAGACATGTCCCCCAGCATCTTCATACATACGTTAGAACATGTCAGTAGACTGTCTTTTTTATTATGTCTGCTGCAGTCTGCATCACCGCGGCTTTAAGTTGGCTTGGAAGGTACCACTGTTGCAGTAAAACTATCCTTCCGTTACGTCTCCGAAGGACGTTGCAGCGAACGTCTACTCTTTGAGTTTAGAGACTTCCACGAGCAGCCAGAAATGTTGGCATGTCAAAAATGCCGTAATAAAAAAGGTTACATTATGATTGTATGCCTACCGAATGACGTTTCGAGTGGGAACTGCTCTTTTTTTTAACTTCTCAGAGAATGTACATTAAGCGCAGAACGTGGTGGAGGAGTGAAGTCTCAGACATGTCCTTGTGCGATGTGTTCCCTTTTTACGCATTCCTATTATTTAACACGTAGACTATGTTTTTGGCTGGGGTAACTTGGTGAAACTATAAGGTGCCAAAGGGGGGGGGGGGGGGGGGGGGGGGGGGGGGCGAAACGCGAGAGGCGAAAGCGTTACGACAAAGAGAACAAGTCGCTAAATTTTACGGCCTGCGGTCTGCCAAGTTTAGAGGATTTTGTTGACTTGATACCTATCGAACTTTCGTAGCACACCAATGGTTGTCGGTACTGGGAAAAAACGCTTGGCGTTTCTACCCAGTACCGACAACCATTGTTGTCCGAACGCGCAAAACACGTGGTTCGAGCCAAGTGCGGCGCCGCCATTTGACTCGAAGAGCAGCACGAGGCCCGTGCCTCGTGATTTGTCGCATTTTACGCTACTTCCAAGACAAACACAAACACATCATGGGGCTTCATGCTTATCGCGACCGTTACGCTCTATTTTGGTGTCCGTGGAAGTTACGATGTCATGCGCCCGCTGAGTTAACCGTGGTGCGTTAGGACAACACCACCTAGACAGAAGGCCTCCACACCGTCATCACAGTCAGATCGATCGAGGCCTGAGATTGGGCACAAGTGCTGTTTCAGTGTTCGGCTGGGCCTCGTGACCAATCAGCACGTCGAAGATCGGGCTCGGGCCCAGTAGCCGAGTTAGCGCGATACGACTCTGGTGACGTTTCATAAAGAGAGAGGAGGCCATGTGGAGGCTTTCATTCTTCTAGATGGTGTTGGTTAGGATCCTCTCCGGGACGTCGTGAGATTAGATGGGGAGTAACGCTTCGTCATTTGGAAGCCACTTGCGCGAGACTCCCGTGAGTCATATTCGATCCTGTTGTTTTGCGATCCCTCTCATCTCCTTGTGGCATCGAGCAAAGGCTTCGCGCTCACGCGGACCGGGGTTGGATTCGCACTGACCCGCTTGTTATAATTAATTACGCTTCATTATGGTTACGTATGTTGAATTATAACTAAGAACGCCTTCTGTCTGAATGCTTGTGCATTGCCTGTTACCGGCTAACTATTATTTATGTTGTCTTGTCCTGCGTGTAACGCTTTTTCGTCACACTCGAGCGTGACACTCTTCGCATGAAAGCCCGCCCGTAAACAAATTTCCGTTGCAAAGGTGTATATTTTTTTTGTTCTGCAAAGGTGTATATTTTGTTTGTTCTCTCCTCTACTTCTGCCATCCGCTTGTTGGATTTGAATGTAAACCATGCAGACCAGAAAAATAAATTAAATGACTCGATTAAATCGTACACTTTTCCAGCATCGCTAGAGCTGATATATAAATCACACTAACTGTGCTCCCCCAATGTAGAATGTGTTTTTTTGCAATACTTTAGGAATTTTATCAGCACCCAAATTAAATAGACTGTTTGATTAATTATACGACTACACGACTACAGGAGGATTCATCGGTTAGACAGATTTAATCGATGCTCAGCCCTAGACAGAAGGTCTTTGATGAATGGTCGGAGGACCTCGAACTTGCATGTCGTAATTCATATTCTTGTGCGTAGGCACTATTCGAAGCTACGCATTTTCCTCATCGGTGATTCGCGTGTTTGAGTCCACCAGGAAACAAGTTTGCATATCGTACTGACAACTGTCTTCTATCTCGCGGATGGCGTTAGCATTGACAACGGTGTCATCATTTCTCCAAGAGAAACAAAAACCACACAAAAAGCCTAGTGTCAAGACGTCGGTTGCAGTTTATTTTTTTTTTTTTTACTGCACGAGCCGACTACTAACAATATTCCTCCAATGACCGACACCACATACCGATTCATAGCCCATTTCAACGTGAGACAGTGATTCACAATAACGGGATTATTTCTCTGACTTCCATCTATACACGTATAAGATACGGTCGGTATTTGGTAACAAACACATCAGGAAATAGAAACAAACCAATATTCAATAAATCACTCTTAATGTCGTGGCACTTACAGTGGGACAGAGAATGTGACAATTAATTTTATGTCCTTAAGCCCATATTGGCACTGTGGGAAAGCTCGTCTCACAGGGAACGGCGAGTAGAGGTTTTGCTCTGCCGCCTGAAGAATGGCCACACAGGCTTGAAGCACTTGCACTTTCTTTGTGGCGAAAATGTAAAGCTCTGTGCTTACTGTGGGAAAGGACTTAGTGTTGCACATTTTATGGCATTGCCCATTTCACCCTAAATTTCGCCGGCCTAGCTTCCCTGAACGTTTTAGAGGTCATCTTCCCTGTCCAATATGTTTACTTGGTGACTGCCCTTTAGTGCCTTTTCACGGTGTTTTCGACTACTTGAGGAGAAGTGGCTACTTAGCCAGGTGTAACTTTTTGATTCTGCCATCTTAAATCGTCTTGTTTAATGCTTTCTAAACAACCTTGAATTGGCGCATTGTGACCTCTGTTGTCATTGCGCCATTAAAACCCTAATCATCGTCATCATCACCTAAAAATGTCTGGAGCTCAGCGCGTGTCCTGTGCTTTGTCAGCCTCAGCGCGTGGCTATGATCAACATTGGCGGCATATAATCGGCTCAAGATCACGTTGCCGCTTGTTCTGGCTGCTAGTTGAGGGGGTGAACGCTGCTCGCTTTTCTTGAATTTTTTTTTTTTTTTTTTTGCGACTTCTATTGCGTTGGGAGAAAAACGAACGCGTGTTTTATTGGTCATAAACGTCAGGGATTCGTCCTAAGCGGTATTCGCGCAAAGTACAAACACTGTTGCACCGCCCCTTTAAATTAACTTTCGGACTTCTTCAGTTGTTTACTCAAATATATAAAAGAAAACCTTAAATACATTAAAATATATATTACACCTGTGTTGAATAAAACTTCAGAGTAACGGTTCGCTAAAACTTCAAAAAGCGCCCAAAGTGTCAACAAATAACTTGGGGTACCATTTTGTCCGTGGCCATTTTGTCCGGGGCAGTTTTGTCGGGGACCATCTTGCACTACACAAGTAGCTGCACTAGGAGGGCGAGAGTTTCAGTGATTCGCCTTCTTTCTACAGGCCGACCACGCCGAGGGAGTCCGGACGCAGTTCGCCGATGTCAACAGCACAACTCGAAGCGGAACGTCGGCGACGTCAGCGCAACACCGAGCTCGCCACCATTTTTATCTTCGTGCCTGTGCTCATAGCATGGGTGCTCATCGTGCCATTGGTGCTGTTTTCCTACTCGTTCGAGAACCCATACAGCAAGCAGTTCCAGGTGGCCCTGTGGATCTGCATACCTGTGTCCACCCTTGTGCTCAGCTTCACCTGTCTGCTGAGCAACGTGTACTGGTACTACGACCAGGAGTCCGGACGCTGGCGCTACCTCCTTCACTGCGGCAAGGGACCCGCGGGCTTCTACTTCGGAGACGTACTGAGCGACACCGTCGGGGGTGCTCGCAAGAGCGCCATGGTGGAGGTGGTCTGAGCACTTAGGACTCGGAGCTCGAGCCACTCGCATGTAGGCGGTTGAGGTGCCGGGATGGCGGTGCCATTGTAAATAGCCTGCCGTCTGTCGTTGTGGGGCATAGTGCCATCTACGCGCCTGTTGATCTTTTTGCATTATTTTAGTTGTTGTATGTCCCGACGATTCGCGAGAGCTCTTTGGAGCCTGTAAAGGTGGTCGGGGTGTGTGTAGATACTTTAGGAGTCGGATAAGCACTGACCGGTAGTAGTGTGAATATTCTGATTATCTTCGAGTAGCTGACTGGAATATCGGAGGACGCAGCCGTTGGTATGTTTAGATACTTTAGGAGTCGAATAAGCACTGACTGGTTGTAGTGTGAATGTTCTGATTCTCTTCGAGTAACTGACTGGAATATGAGAGGACGCCACTTCGCGTTTTTAGGTGAAGTTCTACATTTTGTGGGGCAGCAGTGAACGCATCTTCTGAGCAATGTGATTGTAATTTGTTCACACCGCGATGATTCCACGCATATCCAGTGCATAAAAAACTGGGTTATTCAGTGCTCCAATTGAGGAAGCTGTTAATAAAGCCTGTTCGATATCCGTTCATTTTCGACCATTGGTGTTAATACTGTGAATTACTGTTTTTACTGGCGCGGTGAGCTCGTTGATTTTGCTACACGAGAATTGGATTAAATCGACCATAGCGAACAAAGCCGTTTCTTTCTAATGCAGTACGTACTATACTGTTCACGTAAATCAGTGTAGTGACCTCGTTCTTTCGTTAGTTTAATGGTACGCATACAGCTCCTAGCCATACCGCCAGAAAACACAATTATTATGTTGTTTATAGGTATACATTTTATGTATAAAATATTTTTTCTTTTCTGTGTGCGAGTCGAAATGTATAAAACGCCAGATCACCGCAAAACTGAGTTCCAAACGGTGTCAACACCTAGGTGCATGCTTTTTGCCGACAATGTCGTGTCGACCGTAAAATTTTGAGAGAGGACGTCGGTAATGTTTGTGATCTTGTTGCGAACTTTTCAGAAACAAATAAGCAATATTTCAAAAGATTTCGAGAAAAGTCACTTCCTTTTTTTTGTGTATGTATATCCTTTGACTTACATTCTTTGCATTCTTTCTTTGAGTTATTTTTATCTGCGATATAAAACCATAATGAGGGCGCACGTCTCAACTTTCTGTTTCTACTTTGCAGCCAAATATACAATGATGGTTATTTAAAGCATCCGTGTGACCTGACAGTTTAATATTGTAAAGGTATTTTGGCTACGAAAATTAATGCTTCATAAACAAACCCTTGTAAAGAATTGCCACGAGTCCCCTTTTTTTTCGTGGGAATAGCCCATCATCTGCAATAATGACTTATCGTGGCCAGGGATACTCGTAAGTTGGCTGTGTGGAACACAACTGGGTTGTAGTATCCACATCGCCTGTGACATAAGAATGACGCTCATATTTTGCGAGGACGCCTACCACGCACCCATATATATATATATATATATATATATATATATATTATATATATATATATATATATATATATATATATATATATATATATATATCGGTTTTTCCTTTTTATTCTTACACATTTGTTTAAAAAAAAAACGTGAAAGCTACACTAATACGGTTTGTGCAGGTGGGTTATACGGCCAGGCGGACATTATGTGGGTGGCTAATCTTTGCGATAAGTCGGCTAATTTATTAAAATTTCTTAATTAACTTTTTAATTACTGAAAATAGACATATGGTTTCAATTGGAAACTTGTAGAGCATCATTGAAAACCACTAAATGAACTATTTTTGGAAGGATATAACGCCGGGGCAGCATTTTACTGTGTTCTGTAAAAACGCTCCATTTGGGCGCGTTTCTAGATTTCGGTTTCTTCTCGGAGCGCATAACCGCGCCCGAGGTCCTGCCCCCCGTGGCTGAGACGCGCAACACACGTGCGCCCTACTTCCCTCCTTTCTACAAGGGAGGCGAGGGGGTGGCCTGCTCCTCGGCGACCACCGAGGAGCAGGACCGCGGGAGCAAAGATGCGCTCCGATAAGAAACCGAAATCTAGAAACGCGTCCAAAAGAAGCGTTTTAGAGCGCAGCTTTTAGGCGCCCGTTTCCGGCTTGAGCGGCGTCGCTGTCGGCGTAACCGTGCGCTGCGTTATGGGTAAATTTCCCCGCTAAATTTAGCGGAAAAATTTCCCCGCTAAATCTAGCGGAAAAATTTCCCCGCTAAATCTAGTGGAAAAATTTCCCCGCTAAATCTAGTGGAAAAATTTCCCCGCTAAATCTAGCGGAAAAGTTTCTCCGCTAAATTAGCGGAAAAATTTCCCCGCTAAATCTAGCAGAAAAATTTATCTGGGGGGTCACGTGACCCCCATCCCCCCGCGGTCACGTGACAACCCCAGGTCACGTGACCCTTCTCCACGTGACATTGGGGAGGGCGGTCACGTGACCTCGTGGACCCCCCCACAAAGTCACGTGACCCCCCTCCCCGAGATCACGTGACCCCCTCCCCGAGGTCACGTGACCCCCCCCCCCCCCCCCCCCCCGAGGTCACATGACCCCTCCCCTCTCAGTACCCTTCCCTACTCCTTCTCAAGAGCTGCGCTCTAATTCGGCTTTATAGAGAGTTGCAAACGGCTTTCATTTTTTACAGAACGCCGTAGAATGGTGCCCCGGCGTTATATCCTTCTAAAAATAGTTGATTTAGTGGTTTTCGGTGATGCTCATTAAGTTTCTAATTGGAACTGTATGTCCATTTTCACTAATTAAAAAGTTAATGAACAAATTTTAATTAATTAGCCGACTTATCGCAAAGATTAGCCAGCCACATAATGTCCGCCTGGCCGTATGACCCACGTGCACAAACCGCATTAGTGTAGCTTTCACGTTTTTTTTTTTTTTAACAAAAATGTTAGAATAAAAAAAAAAAACACCCTGTATGTATATTTCATCGAGATACGTGAGCTCATTGTATACTATGGTGCCAAGTGTGAGGCTGGCGGCATCTCCTTATTTTTTTTTTGTGCTTGAGTTACGAGACTAGGGATGGATGCCATTTCCATGTACACGTTAGTCATGCTCAATCATGCCAGTCGAACGAAGCTCGAGGTTTCTTGCCATATGTCGAATGAGCCGTCGTTCTTCACTGTTGGCAGTTGGCCCTCTTCAACTTTACAGTTTGTATTGTTTGGAGGGCGTAAGCACGATCCTGCGAACGAATGGGTTTGTTGTGTATTGTTGTGCATCAATCTTGTGAAAATACAACAAACGTGTGCCACCTGTTTCTTAATTGAGAGATCCCTGTAATAAAGCACTCTACGATTGTAATCCCTGTTCATGCGCATGTTCGATCATACGCTCGCAGAGCAAAAACCAAAGAAAAAAAAAAAGAAGAGAAACTTTTTTTACCAAGTTAACATACGCGTTTATTTATCCGCTTTAATCTATTTTTATATTTAAGCTGTCTAAAGGTCTGCATTTCGCCTGTAGCGTCATTGCTGCTTCTCTTTTATTGGCGCAAGATAGGCACATAGGCAAGACATCATTTGAAATTGAGTTTGAATCTAAAATTGTCGTGATGTTTGTTTGTTCTTGAAAGAACGAAATAAGAACCACAAATAAGTAAAACAGCATAAAGTTTAAGGCGGCGGCATGGTCACCTGCATTTTTTATACCCAGCCCTGTATTTAGGTTGACACGTTTGCAATAGATAGAGCTTCCGGGCGCAAGTGCGCCTTACCGGAATTTTGGCCACGTCGTAAAAATTAAACGCAGGCAGCTTTTTCCTTATTATGTAACAGCTGTTATTAAACAGTTCGAAGGATAATACTGAAACACCTAGAGTCTAGACAACATATACGCCACTTTGAATGCGACAGCGACTAGGACTTTGCGCACTGATAGGGTGCAATCGGAATGCTTTCGTGCTGACCGGATATTTACTTTAGTGGCCGAACAAATACACTCGTCATTGCTCGTAATATTTTTTTTAATGTTATCTCCGAACTATTATTTAAATTGTTATCTCCGAACTATTTTTTTTTTAAATTGTTATCTCCAGAAAATGTCTGCCTGAATGATAGCAACAGGTAACTGCAGCTCTGTCAACTTTACTGTCACGTAATGATTTCTCCAACGACGGACGTGACGTCGTCAGCGCCTTTTCGAATTTTGGTCGTCTTTTTAGGCTTGTTTAGCTCAGCAGGTCAACTGGAATGTTAGTTCGACACGGCTGTCGCAGCAGTTTATTAATTTTTTTTCTGGGTATTGTAAAGCTAGTATTAATCCCTACCAGCGCTTTAGTCAGAGAGCGGTGAAGGTAAACATTTGAACTAGCTGAGTGAGAGAGAGAGAGAGAGAGAGCTAGTGTGCGTTTGATGTGGTCACAGTCACAGCTAATGATTGTAAAATCTATCTGGCTCCGGTATAAGATGATTAGATCCTCATATCGGCAATTTCAGGTGACATTACCCCCGAATAGACGGTATACTTTGTTTCACCTTAAAGAGCCCCTAAAAAAAAAACTAAAGAAAAAAAAGACGTCTTTTTTTTCAACAGTTTGGTTGGGACACGCGTGTCGCAAAATTAATTTTACGCGAAAAAAAAAAAAAATGGAGCAATATTGACGGCGCGAGATTTATTTTAAGTTCTACGCGCAAGGTCCATGACGTCACGGAATGGTCATACACTCTTTCCACCTCAGCGAGATGGCCAGGCCGATCCACCTCTCCTCCACGCGTTCGAAATGTCGAGAGAGAAAACACGGGGAAAGGAGGTGACTACCGACTAAATCGTGTTTCGCGCCGTCAATATCGCTAAAAAATACATAATTTTTTGGCCTATTTTTTTTTTTTTTTTGTTTGACACGCGTGGTTCAACCAAACTATAAAAAAAAAACTTTTTTTTTTTCTTTTTAGGAGCCCTTTAAGTCCAGAAGCAGCAGCCCAGGCTACGAGCTGATGAGGCCAATCGGGCAGCGTCAAAAGCGCACCGTCATGGTGTTTGTCATGTTTCTGTACGTGTTCTATTGTTGCTGAACCAATCACGTGAAACGAAGGCCCGGTAACTTGCACTTTTGACGCCATTTGATTGGCCCCATGTGCTCGTAGCGTCAACTGCGTCTGGATATAAACTGAAACGAAGTATAGTCTAGGTTTTTTCATACCGATGGCTGTATCATGGCCGAACAATTAACTCGGGTGGGGAAAATTAAATTCATTCTTACGGCGAACTTTACTCACTGTAATGACCTTCACGTTTGTGCGCAATCAGTTTAGCTGAATAGTGCGGGCAGCAAGTGGCATTCGCCTTCACAGAGGTGAACGGGAACAACCAATGCCAGAAATTAAGAATCCGAATTTCCAAATAATTTCTCCAAAGTTCCGAAAACTGCAAATTTAAAGGAATTGTCCGTGCTGTCTACTACCGCGAACGTATCTAATTAACGACGAAAGTTACAAAACAATTCTTCATTTCGAAAAAAAAAAAGTTGAACATATTTCGAATTTGAATGCATAATTTAATTTAGGTTTGCAGACCACAGTGTCCGGAACAGGAGGACGCCCCCCAAAACCCCCAGCTGAAGATCCAAACATTCGTAACGGTAGCATCATTTAAAAACATAAAGAGAAGGTTACAGTGAGGTTCCGACCCCAACCTACGTCTCGCAAGATTTAGAGTTGCTTGCACGCAACCTCAACCCTTGACCAGAGCAGTCATCTTTGGTGTAGTCAACTCTCCGTTCGGACTAACCCGAGAGGGAAAATAACTAACGAGTTCCGGGAAACGCCAGACACTAAAATTGTGCAAGTGTTTCTCCCACTGTCGACCAGTAAGATATGAACGTCCCCACGAAAACTTGAACGACGCTGAATGCTTTTAAACGAAGCGTTGTTAGCGCAGCTTATACCTTCACTCAGACAGCGTTGCTCACCCCCACGAAGCCTTGAAATGAAACATTCAGTCTCGCGTGCGTCGCTGCGGTTGACTAAGTGGAGTTGTGCAACACGACACTGTGATGGAGTGGAGTCAAGTATAGGAGCAGGAACGGGCTCTTGGCGTCTATCTTAACCTGGAGCCAGACTAAAAGCCTCGAGTAGCCAATGTTAAGAAACTTGTTAGTCAGTTCAGACAGCATTGGATGCGCACCGACAGCAAACGTATCGAACAGTACATGCGAGTGGCGCAGCACAGGTGTGCCGATTTGAACAGTGCGGTCCATAGAGTGGCATGAACGCCAACACGACATATGTCGACTACACAAGTAAGTAAGCGCTTTAACAGGTTTGACTTAGTGCCATTAAATAAGCTACGCTTCAGAGTAGCGACACTTGGCCATATTGTGGCTTAAAATCATAGTTGCCAGTTACCAGAAGCTTTATCTGAAACCACAGAAAACGCTTTTCCGTCATCCACAAATGTTTAAACGG